ATAGTAAAAAAAAAAAAGAGAAGGAATAAAAAATAATAAATTGGTTTAAAAATTAATATTTTTTGACAACCGAAAGCAAATTAAAAAAGTCTAGTCACTGCCATGTCATTTTTCCGTTARTCAACTAACTATCAAAGAATGTTTAGGGACTATTTAGAACAAATTCTCAAACTTTAGGGATCAAAAATGTTTATTTTGAAACTTGACAAAACTGACAACTACTCAAAATGTCAGGGACCAAAAGTGTTTATTTTGAATTTTAGAGACTAAATTGACACCTACCTCAAACCTCAGGGACCAAAAATATATTTTTCCCTAACTTATATTACAATCCAAATACAAGATTTAAACTTTAACTAAATATAAAGTTTAAATACCATTGTGGTCTCTTTCAACTTTGATTTATTTTGATCCCTAATTTTCAAAATGTCCATTTTGACATATACTTTCAATTTTTGTTCATTTTTATCTACATACTTTCAAAATATCTATTTTAATCACTACAATTTTAAAACGCGATGAATTTGATCCATATTTACAAAATTTTAACACAAATTATATGCACAATAAAAATCCTTTAATACAAAATTACTACTACAATTTAATAAATTTATTTAATTTAATGTCATGATGAAATTGTGATTGAAAAAATGAGATAAAAAATATAACGAAGAGACTAAAACGATACATAAACTAAATTAGACATTTCAAAATTACATTAATTAAAAAAGACAAACAAAAAGTACAAACACAAAATCAAAATAGACGATTTAAAAATACATAAACTAAAACAAGCTGAAACTATGGGCCCAAATAGTATTCAAACCAAAAAATAATTATGTTTGAAATAATATTCAAATTCAATTTAACATAATTAAATATATTCAACTTGTTATTCTTCCCACCTTTACCAACAACGAAATACAGGCATCCAAATTCTAGCAATCATGTTCCTACCACTTGAACATTGTTTCATTTTTTTTTTCCTTCGTGGGATGGAATCAAATATACAATATTTACAGACGGTAAAAGTAATGGAAAAAAATCAAATATACACTATTTACAGACTGTAAAAGTAATGGAAAAAATCAATATATTTCTAAGTCGAATCAGAATCAACTAAGACAGAAACAAAGCATTGGGCCAGCCCATAAATTTGCAGATGTACCATAAAATGATAACCTATTTGTCCTACAAAAATGTTTGATACTGAAGAATAAAATAAAAATAAAAACTCCTATTTTTTAATATCTCTTTCTACTATTTTTTTTTTTCTCTTTTCTGTTCCACCTAATCCCTATTTCATGACCACATATTTTTCCGACTAAGGAATGATAAACCTCTCTTGTTACATTAATCCAATTTTCATTATCTTTTTTTTCCTTTACGTGAGTGTCTAATCTAGCTTGCAGACACTTTGACTAATCCACTTGAACCTCGAATTTATTTTCCTCCCACATTTTCTGGCTTGCTTTTAATTCCCGCAAAGCCAATGCCAATAACGTGCTCCGACCCCATTTCATTACAATTATATTTTTTTCATATATAAATTTACAAAAGGTACATAAAAAAAACACTAGTAACCAACCAGCTTGATAAATTATTAAGCTAAGAAATGAATCAGTTAAAAAAAAAAATTCTAGAAACCCATATTTAAAAGAATCTATCATAAAAAAAAATAAGTCTAAACAATAGCTGCTTACAAACAATTATAGATATAAGCTTCCTACTCAAAATGCTTGGTGTTTCACAGCTAACTTGCTTCCTAATCTTGAAGGGTCAGAATCACAAAACTTGCTGGTTAAATTTAAAAACAAGAAACATAAATAACACACGATATTATACCACCTATCTTTCTAATGACCACCCTGATAAAACAATGTAGAATAGAGAGAAGAAAACACTGAGGTTGGAGTTGTACCGTGTCGCCGAAACTGATTAGGAAATCGAACGTAGTCGAGAAAATGAAGTATAAAGCAAACAAAAATCAGTATGTTGTCCTCCAATCTTCACCAGCATAAACTGCTTGATCTCCAAGCTCTTCTTCAATACGGAGCAACTGCATTAACCTCGGGAATTATTAGTAACATGACTTCCTTACAGTTAACAATAACTATAGTCTCGTCATTTTGGAAGAAGAAATCTAATATACAGAGACAGTAAGAGCTAGGGGTGATCATTGGTTCGATTTATCGGTTATTTACTAAATCGGGAACTGAATATAATCCCGAATGTTATCTGCCACGGCAAGGCAATACAATAGCTAAATATAGTCCCAAACGTTTGAATCTTTTTTCAATTGGATCTCTAATCTTCTAAAAAATTTCAATTTCATCCTCTCTATATGTTTCGTTAAAGTTGACATATAAAATGTTGATATAATGTTCAAATCAACTTTATTAACTGAGCGGAAATGGTTTATGATTTAATTTACCAGACCAAAAAAAAACCTTACTCATTTCATGTAATTCAGCTTATAGTAACTTAATTAACACTAAATTGTTTGTTGTTATAGAAAATTGATCCACTCAAATGTTGGTATACTACCAATTGATGGTCTCATAAAATTTGCCATTTTCAAATTCATATATCATGTGATTTAAAAGCTCTTCTAGATTCTCAATTTTTGTATTATAGTTAACACCATCCCTTCTCACCAGCTTCTATGTAATGCAGCGACAACAAAAAATAGGCAAGTGATTCAAATGTTCAATAAATTAGACCTGATTATATTTGGCCAGCCGCTCTCCTCTACACGGAGCACCTGCTTTGATCTGACCAGTGGAAAGTCCCACAGAAAAATCGGCTAGAAACGTATCATCTGTTTCTCCACACCTGTGAGATGCCACAACTCCCCATTGTGCAACTTTGGCAAGCTTCACAACGTCAATGGCTTCTGTCACCGTGCCAATCTGATTTACCTACATTAGAAAGAACACAATTTCTTCAGTATAATTTCTATCCAAGCAGGCTTCCCTGAACAACGTTGCTTTTAGCACCAAAAGGACTACACTTTCAAAAAGTCAGTATGGTATTTTAGTTCTAATTCTGCATAGCCTCCTAGGATTAACGGTATTATGAACAGACTTTAGACAAGAGAATATTCCACAGTATGTCGATATGAAGATACTCGAAGAAATGACACATTTTATATAAAAACTAGCGATTAGTACCAGTACCTTGAGGAGGAGTGCATTACAAGTGGACTCGTCAATAGCTCTTTCAATTCGCATTTTGTTTGACATTAACAAGTCACCTCCCACTACCTACATTGATATTGAATAGCAATAAGCAGTAATTCCAGTTAAAGAGGACAAACACTACGGAAAATAAGTGAAAATATATAAGGAAATTTTGAAAAAGAACAAAAATAAAAACTTCCGTATCCCGGAGGTCAAGAAAACATTTAACTCGCATATATGGTAAAGAATTGTCTCTCTTATTTTTTTTTTTTAAGTAAGAAAGATATCAAGAAGCCTCCTCAACTGCTATAAGAGGCAAGGCAACCAAGTTGCCTGGTTCTTCGACAGTTTGGTTAATTGTATTCTACAATTTGCAAGCTATTCTTTTCATTTTAAAAAGGGCAATCAAATTGAGATTCTACAAGATCATCAGGATCAAAATGGAGGACAATAATCTGACACAATAGTAATACATAGCCACAAAAGAAACTAGGGGCATATTGATATTATAAATTTGCAAGTGATATCAGGGAATTTGAACCCATAACCTCTTGGGTCTTCTTTAACCACCATCTTCAGTTCATGAGTTAAATCAAATATTCTTTCGGTAGAAACTTCATATAGAATTATTCTGAACATTAATAGGAAAAATATGAGGAGAAAACCTGACAAAGTCCAAGGCTAGAAAAATTTTTGGTGTGATCCCAGTCCTCCCTGTCAAATGGATCCTCAATTGATACAATTGGATAGTCTAAGAAACATGAGAGCAGAGAACATTAGCCCATTGTTGAAAACGACAGCAAAAATGCCTAATGATAGACAAGGACAAGAGACTATATACCAGCACATAGTTCTTTGTACATATCTATCATATCCTTTCCTGACTTGAAATTCTGAACCGACTTGTTTGGAGCTTTGAAGTCAAGATCATATTTGGTACCTACAGCAAACGAGAGAAGATGTAAATTTAGGGGAAATTTTCATGTAGGACAAATAACATTCATTTCAGGAGAGAAGATTAACAGGTTTTCTTTATGGAGTGGAGACAATCTGTAAGAAAAATAACTGGAGAAAGGGTGATGAACGTAGATTATCATCAACAAGCAGTACGCATCCAATTAATCATCTTGTGATCCATTTCTCCAGTTTTTCATATCCTACTGTTCAAATAGGGCCATTATTCAGGAAACTTGTCTCTCTCACCCATGCAGAAATTAGTAGCAGCAACATCGATTGCTATCTTGATTCTCTCGTTATACCCAGTTCTGCCAATAGCCTCTTGTACAAGATCCAGGCCTTCTTTAAAACTGTCAATGGAAGACAAGTAATTAAAAACATGTTTTTTGGCTCCATTGTTATTAAGAGTCAGAAAAGCAGCCAATAACTGTAACAGTGGTAGTAAATTAACAATATGCAGGGTTCTATCAAATATGTAATCTATCCTTCTCATTCTAGAATGTTCTTCTTGGTTTCTATGAAAAACTGAAGTTCCACAGATCCATATAAGCAAACCAAGAAATTTCGGAACTTGTATCTTGCCTGGATATGTTTGGAGCAAGTCCGCCATCATCACCAAAATTACATCCCTGGGCACCATGCTTTTCAGTAATCACAGCCTGCCATTTTTTCCAGAGAAATTACATTTTAAATGGGCATAATTAACAATGTCGCATTCCAAATGGAGCAATTTTTTTTGCTTTGAGTTCTAATATGGGTCATGACAGATAGAAAAAATCATGAAAAAGCAAAGACCCACAGGAAAATATGACATTATTTTAGAATATATTGGTAAGTGGTTAGACCATGCACAACTTTGCAACATGTTTGTCTGTAATTCTGGCATTTTGAACACACTTGGTAAGCTACAATAATGGTTAAGGAACCTGACACAGCTAGGATGACAACAATAGAGCATGCCACGACTCAGAGAATGCTTTAAGGTTCCTGACAAGTAAATGAACCACAATGAACCTCTAAACTTGTCGCTATGCATGTGATATGCTATGAGAAGATCTTAAAAGCTGAAATATAGGATTTCAGATATACACTGATACTTCAATTCTTCAATGAGGTGCCATACTCGAAAAATATAAGACAGCAAGATAAATGGGTATGTACTGCCTCAAAAAATCATGAGACTAATTTAAAATAGTAATACACCCTACTTGATAATATGGATATATATATAAATATCATAACATGAAAATATGAAATGATAGTGTTCAGAAAAACTATGCATACTCAGATAGTGAATTTATAAGTTGACAAGATGCCACACTTGGTAAATAACAGAAGGATGTAAAAGAGCAAAATGACAACAAAAAAAAAAAAAGAAATAGAGAGAGAGAGAGAGAGATGATCCTAAAGGACTTTTTCCTGGAAAATGCTCATAAGAATCTAAAAAGTTGGAACTAACATAAGCTAATGAAAGACAAGTTACAAAACTGATATAACACATCCACATTTAAAGAGACTATAGGCTTAAGTTTCAATTCCTGTAGATCTGACATTATATTTCTTTTACAAGATACAACTGGTACTTTCACATAACATGCTTATAGTTATATAAGTTATAAATAAGAATAATTGAATGCAATGACAAGGTGGAATTAAAATTCCAGAGATTAGACAATTGAGATGAATGAAATCACAATTCACACCTTTAAGTGATGGAAAGTTTCAGAACCCATTTTTAGTGCCTCTTCAAACTTGCTAGCTCCAATTGGAAGAATCATGATTTCCTGATAACGATTCAAGTCAGTCTAAATGAATAGACACAGCACACAACATTCGGAATCCTTCGAAACCAAAAGAAACTAATATAGTTGCAAGCCACCATGGCTTCCATTTATATCATTGTTTTTTTTTTTGGTGAAAGAAACAATTTCATTGATAATATGAAATTACAAAAGAGATAACAAAGACTCAAAGAGGGTTACATAAAGCATTTCCAATTGTAAAAGAGGGAAGTGTAGGAATAATGGTGAAAAAGAGAACTTTTACTCCAAGTGATAACTGTGAAGACTAATGAATCAAAAACCCTTTCAAAGGGGAGGTCTTTGCCGTTGAAAGTTCGATTGTTTCTTTCTCTCCAAGTTATCCAAAAGAGGGCTCTAACAAAATGCTTCCATAGAATTTCCTTTTCCTTTTGTAAAGGATGGCCATTGAGGGTAGAAGAGGGATATCATTAGGTAATGCCGTAAACCATCCAAACAATTGAAGAAGGTTTTTCCAGATACCAAATGCAAATGGGCATGTGATGAAAAGATGTGGCTGTGACTCGGTAGGTATTCTGTCTTCCATTTATATCATTGTGTATAGACTGAATTACTAGATACAAAGAACAAGTTCAGAGTCAATGGTTTCTTGCACTGATTATTTGGTATATGCGGTCAAAAATAACTCTACTCATCTAACAGAGGAACTAAGAATAAGAAGAAGAAGAAAGACCACAACTGCTTTGAATCCTTACCACAGCATACCTGAATGGCCAGATTATTGCCAGCATGTTTTCCTCCACTAATGACAGTGAAGGCTGGGACAGGAAGTATCAAGTTTGTTTTTCCGGACAGGTCTGCAATATGCTTATAAAGCGGAACCTGAAATTACTTCATTTAAGAATCTCTTTGCAGGATTGTAGAATACTGCATAAACAAAAAAAGAATTTAATCTATATAATAGAGATTAATGAAAGGCATACATCCTTTTCAGCAGCACCAGCTCTGCATACAGCAATCGACACGGCAAGTATAGCATTTGCTCCAAGTTCGGCCTGCAGTATGTATTGGCTAAGAAAACTACTCACTTAAAAGGTATCACTATTGACGCCTTTGGAAATAAATTATTTTGTCAAAGAAGGAACCATCCAATGTTATTATCTTCTAATAAAGAACCATTTATTATACAGAAAGAGTCACAGACAAGTGCAGTATCATGATGACATATCCAAAATAGCAAAGTAGGAAAAAGAAATAAAGAAGACATTGATTTTGACCTATTTAAAATAAAAAAGAGTGACATCGATCCATGGAATTCCAAATAAGTATATATATAAAAAAATTAAAAATACACGTCTCTCGAGTCCGTGCCTTGGGGCAGGCGCGGGTGTCCCTGGTATAGGGAAGCAAAAGCTCCGGCTCCCAGTATAAAAAAATAAATAAACAAAAAAAATAGAAAAGGTGCTTCTTTCATACTGAGTTAAGAATCTGCCACACTCTCATCTAGTACATTTAATCATTAAGCAAGTGCAACCTGCCAAAGTTTACCAGCAATGGTCATACTATTCCACTTTCAAAATAGTTGCTCCTACTAAGAACTAACGGCACGTCTATTCCTCAATTCAAAGCTGATTGTCCCACCTGATACAGCTGACCAGTAGCAGCATAAGCAAAGATTTCACTTAGAGAACCTTCCAGGTCAGCTAGAATTTGAATTTATGACAAAATGAAGTAAACTATGATATAGATGCTCACGACAAGAAATTTCAGCATAAAATAATTTCTCATACTTCCCAATAGAGTTATAGACAGTGCTCTATAGGATATTGACTAAATCCAATCTTCTGAATCCATTAACATTGCAATTATACTCACAAGTATTGGATATAGTAGCACAGTAATGATGCAGAACAAGTTGTTCAAGCAACACTCACATCAAGTTTGTGAATTCAGGAAAAAGAGATGTACTACACCTTCTTTTCTGTCGTATCCAAATCTTTCATGGCCTGGTCAATTTCATATTGTTGCGTAGGATCCCTACCAATCAATGCTTCAGATATCTTCTCGTTGATATTTTTTACTGCTTTAGTAACACTATTTCCAAGGTACATTCCCTTGTCTCCATCACGTAAGTCTACAGCCTCATACCTGCGAAAAGCAAATATTGCCTTAAAATCTAATTGACAGAAATGACACCAAAACATCTCGAAAATCATCCTCTAACAAAAGCTTTTGCTATGACGATAACTATATTCTCTCCAATACAAGTTTGTGCTAATTTCCAAGGAACCTTACATGCCAGCAGGATCGCCGCTGGGAACGGAAGCGTGGAACACTCCTTTGTTGGTGTATAAATCGACCTCAACAGTCGGAATTCCTCTACTATCGAGGATCTGCCGGGCTTTAACTTTTGTAATCATTGAAGGAATCGCTTTCTTCATATGATTCGACTGATTGAAAAAATAAAAGCAAATAAAGATCAAATTAGTTGAAGTAGGAATAAGCATGTATTGCTTTCCATGGTTTCGATAATTGATTGGAACAGAAAGAAAAGACGATTTAATAAATTTTCGAGCAACATTTTGTATGAAGCCAAAGAGAGAGATAGAGAGGAGATCACAATGAAGAGAACGGGATCGAGAGTTTTCGCCCTAACAGCAGCATTGACCGCTTCCTCGATTTTTCGGGAGAGCATGTACTTATCCAGATACTCTTGAACAGACATTTCTTTCAGCTGCTTCTTCTCCATGGCGAATTTGTGGAGAAAAATACAGAGATTCGATCCTCCAAAACGGAGTGAGCTCTGAAAATTGCTTCTGCCGCGGCTCTGTTGTTGCCACCGGAGTTCGAGTGACAAGACGAGACCTTGGGTTAAACTATGGAGACCTTTGCAACATCGCGGGGCTGTTCCACCGGAAGCCTGTAACGGGAATTCATGTATTGTTGTTATTTTTCCTGCTTTTTTTTTTTTTTGATAGATTATGGGAAAAAGAGAAAACTACAATCCTTTTACCCTTACAATTTATACCGTCCAAATTAAAACATTTAAAGTCGTAGAAACTTACCTAAAGTTTAGAAACGAAGGACACACTTGGTAAAGCAAGCTAATTGGCATATATTTCCAACCAATAGGTCGTGAGTTCGATCCCCTACCCCACATGTTATACTAAGAAAAAAAAAAGGACACATTTGGTACACGATAATAGGCCTCGTCCTGAATGGATCTAATCGAGGTTTTTCCCCTTGTTGAGATCCATTAGCGAGCTCAGACAAACATTTCGGACCTTGTTCAAAGGTGGAAGGTTGGTTTTCGTAATCCTGGATTTCCATATTTTGGGGCCTATTATTCTCGTCAGAATAACTACTGGAGGATGACCTCCTTTTAGGAAAATCTACTTCTACATGGTGAGTCACTATTTGAAGTTCAATGGAGATGCAAATTGTAGTTATTACATTTTTTTAGACTTAACATAGATGATCCTCTTTGCTGTACTTGAAATTATCTTCCAATTTTCTATTTGCTTCTAAATTTTAATATTGTCAACTCCTTGATTTCTTTCAGAAACTAAAGCAGAAGGGTGCTATGTATCACAATA